GCAGATCCCCGCAGGGGATCCAGGCCATTTGCGAGTAGTTGTTTCGCGAGTAGCGGAACCGCCTTCTGGGAGCAGCTCCTCCACAGCGGGCCGAGTGCAGCCTGGGAGACCGGGGACGGCATGCAGACTTGCAGCACCGCCTGCAGGGAGGCCCGGCGGAGCGGCGCCCGTCGCGTGGCCCCAGGCTCGGCCCCGCCTCCCCGGCAGGCTGCCAGGCGCGTCTTCCTCCTCCTCGCCCTCCTCCTGCTCCTCGCCCTCCTCCTCCTCCTCCTCCTCCTCCTTCTCGTCCTTCTCGTCCTCGTCCTCGCCCTCCTCCTCCTCCTCTTCCTCCTCCTCCTCCTCCTTCCTCCTCCTCCCCCTCCTTCCTCCTCCTCCTCCTTCCTCCTCCTCGTTCTTTTCCAAGTTTTCCTCCTCCTTCCTCCTCTTCCTCCTCGCCCTCCTCCTCCTCCTTTTCCTTCTCCTCCTCCTCCGATTGCCTGTCGTGTTTTTGCGTGTGAGTTTGCCGTTTTCGCACGCCCGTCCCCAAGAGCTCCCAGCACTGCCCCGCGCTGCCCCACGACGGCCCCCGGGGGCTGCTCTGCAGGCGAACCCAGGCGAGAACAGTGCAGGGACCGAGCACAGCGCTGTTTGGCTCAGTTTTAGCTTGTGCCTTGTTTTTCGTTTTGTCTTTCGCTGCTGTTCCGTTGCGTGTCGTTTCGGTTTCGCTTTCGTTTGGCACCAGTTTCGTTCTAAACGTTCGTTTTAGACGTTCGGCTTCGTTTCGCTGTTCGTTCTCAACGCCAGCGCGTTTGAAACATCGTTGTCCTCGGTCGCTGAAGAACATGGGGTGCTCCCACGCAAGACCAGGGGTGTTCTCATGATCTCGTCGGCCCCCGCCAGAGAAACCTTGGGGCGCACGGATCCTTCTCCCGCGCACCCCCCCCTCCCCCTGCTCCGGTCCGATCTCCCGATTCGATGCTGCTCCTCCCCATCCTCGGTCGACGGACCGCCAGCAGAAGTGGTTGGTGGTTCGGTTGCGGCTAGACCCTCATATCGCTTCTGTCTTGAAGACCCACCACTGGGGAGGAAGAGGCTTCTACATATTCCAGGAACTGTAGACCTACAGTTTTTCTGCCCCGATTGTACACTTTGTCGTGTGATGTGTAGAAGCACACTCCATTCTGCCCTTCTACACATTTCTGTTTGAAGTGTATAATTTGCGTGTTGCTTTACACATCTCAGTGTGATGCGTAGAAATCACGTGTTCCGATGCGTAGGATTGGCTCGCCAAAAACATGATACACATATTCACGGATGTGTAGAAGCTGACTGGTTCTGAACCCCCCACCTAGTTTGAGGGCGTGCAAGCAACCGACGTTGTTGGACTTGGACGGTCGCAACAAGAAGCTCATGGAGGCTGGAGAGAAGCCCCTGCTGCTGACCGAAGCCGTCGCTCTATCATTACATCGAGAAGTACACCGCCGTCTGCCGCTGCGGGCCTCTTGAGGAGGGCAAGGCCCGCAGCATTATGCGGGACCGTTTCCTGTCACTGTGCGGACGCGAAGCGGCAGAAGGAGAGTATGTTCTCACCTTCTGGGCCATAACGCGCAGAACGGCCGACTTCGGCCCCCTGGGCGGTGCGGCCACACGGCGCTTCCAGTGCGGCCTTGCCACGGCCCGCGGTTTTTTGGCCCGGGGTGCCCCTCTGCGGGGGGCCGCTGGGGGCACCAGTCTGGGCCCCCCCCCCTCTGATGATTTGCCAGTTTGTCTCTGAGGGGCTCTTTCGGTCAGTGGGGGCCAGAGCTCTCGCCGCCGCCCCGCGAGTCGTTCAAGGCTCCATCGTGCTCACAGAGCCCTGCAATTCTTTTCCGCAAGCTCCCGCATGTACCCCCTTCCTTTCTCCGACCTCTCGTCGACTACACGTAAGAGTGACCTTTCGCTGGAGTGACCCTTTGGTGCGATAGTAGCGCCTTGTGCGCACGTGCTTGGTCCCCGCGGCCCCCAACTAGCCACGCACCAAAGGTCGTTCTTACCCAGGGCCACTCTGGCATGTAGTCGATCTCAGAAGGGGGGGCAGGGAGGAAGGGATGGAGGGGTGTTCGATTGGCGCCTGAGGGCCGCCCCGCGAGCCGTTCAAGGCTCCATCGTGCTCACAGAGCCCTGCAAGTCTTTTCCGCACACTCCCACATGTACCGCCCTCTCCTCTCTCAGACCCCCCGAGGGGGGCAGGGAGGAAGGGATGGATGGGGTGTTCGGTTGCCGCCTATGGGGGGCCGCCCACCCCAAGTGCGCAGCATCGGCACGCTTCGCTCGGGGGGAAGGGGAGAAGAAACAAGTAATTCCCAGCAGAAGGGTTCAATCCCCGGCAGAGGGATTCAACTCTTGGAAACCAATTTCAATATCCTCAGCTTTTAAAAAATACGAATTGCTATTGTCCGTTTCCAGGGCCTGCCGAGAGGCATCTTTGGCCATCCCGACACGCTTCTCGGGCCTCCCGACAGACCTCCTGGGCTTCCTGACTGGCCTCTTGGTGGAGGGGTTCTCCGAAGGGCTTGGGCGACCCGTCCTCCTCCTCCTCCTCCTCCTCCTCCTCCTCCTCCTCCTGCTCCTCCTCCTCCTCCTCCTCCCTCCTCCTCCTCCTCCCTCCTCCTCCTCCTCCCTCCTCCTCCTCCTCCTCCCGGATTCGGCTTCTACGCCACCCCGGCGGCCTCGCCCTGCGCCCACCCCCCGACGCGCTCGGATCTGCCAGCCGTTGGGGCGCGGCGCGGGGCATCGTTTCACGCGGCTGGCGGATCGCCAGAGACGGCCTCGCGGTGAGGATCGTCGGCCGCTTTCTCTCCACGGGCGTGGGCGCTCGAGGGGCTGACGCGGTTGAGCCTGGAACCCATTCGCCGCGGTTCCGCAACCGTGGTCACCTCTCAGCAACGCCCCTTCCGCGGCTGGGGCGCTGATCAATTTGAAAGAGTGCGCAGGCGATCCCGAGTGGAAGGAGAAGGAAGGAGGGAAGCGACGCATAGCGACGCGAGGGAAGACAGGAGTCCCAGGGCAACTGCGTGAGGAGAAGGAAGAAGAGGATCTTCAGAGGAAGCCTTACATTTGGCCAGAGCGTTAAGAAGAGCGAAATTCGAGCCGATTTGTTGCGTAAGGTAGGGTACCTCCGTGTAGTTGGCTTGTGCACAAATGTCAAGGCTTTGGTCATATGTTATGAGGAATGTCCAGCGAGTGCCCTGCCCTGAACAAGAAAGCAACACGTCCGCCCAAGATTTGCCGAAGACGGTTCCAAAACAGCCTCACGATACCTCGAAGACGGACCCCGCCAACATTCGTCCATGAGCTTCCGCGATTGGTCTCGGGGCCCTCTGACGCGGCCCATGGCCCGTTTAGACATGTTTAGGCGGCTCCACGCCCGTCCATAGAGCCCACGGACCCCTCAAGCGGGGCCTTGGAAGCCGATCTTAGGGCTACCTGGAGCCCCTCCAGGGCCCTCTGTCTCCGGCAACGGAGTGAGCAGCGCCCGGCGCAGGCTGGGGACCGCGGGCGGTGCGCCAGCGCTCACCCCCCTGACGCCGCTCCAGACGGCCGTGGCTGCGGGTCCTTGCCTGACCGCAGCGTCTACAGAGCTGCTCTGCGGGGAGTGGCATGCGGAACCGTGGCCAACATGCTCCACAACGCAGTCGGATGTTCCATTCCTGCTGATTCAAACGTTGTTGCCGAGGTCAGGCGACGCACCGTGCCGAGTTCGGGACGTGGCAATTGCGGTGGTCGCTGCCCTAGGGCCACCCTTATGGCATTTGGCTTCCGCTGGATAAGCTGGCTTCTTTGCTGTTTGGGCTCCGTGGGCCAGGTCGGGCCACTCGCGGCGAGCTCCCCGCTCGAAGTTTACAAGTACGCTGTGGAGCTGGGCTGTTGAGCGTCCCCGTCACAGTCCCCTATACGCTCCTGGACGTGTGCCGCTGACGCATGTTCGCAGGCCCTGTTTAAGTTGGTCAATCGGGGTGCCCGTTTCACCTCCCTTCCTTTCGAACGCGCCCACCACCCGCGTGGGTTCTCTCACGCGCTTCACGCACGCAGCTGGACCCTTGAGCTGCCGAGTGTCTTCCTGCCCGCGGGGTTCCAGTGACCTCCCTTTCCGGTTCGCGCCCTGCCACATCCTACCACCCGAGTATGCTTTCACTTCGTCCTGTGCGTCTATGAGCTTCCTCTCAGGCGCTGTCTCTTCTGAGGCGCTTGCAGCTAACTCGTGTGGATGCTCTACGTACCCCCCTTCAACTCTAAACGGCACTACCCTGCGTAGGCCACCGCTGCCGGCTGCGTGTAAGAAACCTTCCGTGGGGCATGCAGCATTTAATTTTGAGGCTTCGTTCCTCTACGTTGAGAGTTCAAGTCAGAGTTCAAGTCTTCAGACAGCTCATTTCTCACAATATGTTATTTCCCTCTTGTCTCCGGGACCCCCGGGACGACCATCGGGTGCACAAAATGTCAGAAGGCCGAGTGGATGACTACTTGAAGGTTTGGACAGGCTCGCGCAAAGCTCTTCACGATTTGCGCCAGATTGTTCGTGTTCGATGTTTGCGGCGGGTCAATACTTCCAGGTGGGGCGCTGAGGAGATCGCCGAGGTCGACTTAGACGCCCTCTCGAATAAGTTTCTTTCTCAGTGGATGGGTTCCCTATCAGAAGAGGATCGCAGGCTGTTGGTTATCTTCCGCAGCGGTGCGGTCACATCAGAAACGCGGCGGAGGACTGGCCTACCTTGCAAGCGCCGCGGGAAGGCTTCCTCAAGCTTCGCCCATGTTGTTGCCGAGTGCCCCGAGCACCAAGGCCTACGAGACGCTGCTTCTCGTGAGTATTCCCTGCCTGCGATGTTCTGGAATTCTCTCCCTCGCGTGACATCCAAATCGGGCTGGATAAGCGACGTCCTGGCGGGCACAGTTCAAGACAAATCCTGAATGGCTACGGCGGCGTGTGCAGTCGCCGTGGACACACTCAGGGCATCGACCACGTGTTGAGGACTCAACGCATCTTCCTGCTTCTTCCAGGTTCCGAGGCGCTTCGTCAATGAGAGTGCAAGTCTTCAGTCCGCTTGTCTCTCTCGAAATGTTACTGCTTCTGTCTGTCTCCGCTCACCGGCGTCTTCGCGGAACGATCTTCGACATACAAGTCATGGATTCGGAGTTTGCTTGGCCCTAAGCGCGTAGCGCGCGTGGTTCTAGTTTGCGTGTATGTATGCGTACACACCACCGCATACACCGCACAGAATGTGCGATAAATCGATTAAGATGCAGTCGTACAAGTGTTTGGCGTAGCAGTTTGCCAGGAATCGTTTCCAGCGCGTTGTATCTGATAGCTTGGCCATCAGTGCGTTGATTACCTGGCACCAGCCGCATTGTTTCAATCTTACGCCAAATACAGATGCGTGAGATGGAACCGCAGAGCTGTGGTGAAAGACGGTGTAAACAGACAATGGTATGTCAAGATCCATCACGCGTGGTCAGACCACGTCGTTCGATACCATTCTCCCAAGCGGCAGCTCCTGGAGTCCAACTCAAAACAAGTACGCAACACTAGGGGGGGCCTCTCGGAGCCCTCTCGGCATTGCTCGTGGCATCAGCACGGCGCACACACGCGCGGTTGCCAATGGTCGCACAAAGGCAATTTTGACGGGAACCCAAGGGACATACAGCTTGTTGTCTCACCCGAGTTCAGATACGAAATAAGTTGGGCCCCAATCAAGCCCCAAACGTTGTGAGTCCTCGTGTGTCCCACTGGTTCCGATATAGGGGCCAAGCTGGATCCAATGGGTGACGATACTTCTGGTTTGCAATCGGGTTCCTGAAGGAACCTGCACAATCTGAGCCCAAGAGGAATTAACCTTATTGGATGCCAAGAGGGACCAAAACAATAGCCTAGTAGGACTCCCATGGCAAGGAATATTTGGATTCCAATTTACTTCCACTAGGATGCGGATATGTATCCAACTGGAGGGGATCCGACTGGATGCCAGCAGGATCCCAATCGGAACCCGATAGAGCGGAATCCGAATTCCGTTAGAGAGGAAGGCTATGGCATTACAATCGGTCCGCCTTGGGTCGTGCAGAGAACCCAATTTGATTCCAATTGGAAGGAATTGCGTTCAATCCCATTAGGACCACTGATATGGAGATGACACTATACATAGTTCCAGAACGGTTCAGTCTCCAACAAGAAATGTTCCCAGACTTCACGTGCTTACCTCTAGGACCCCCATGACAAGGGAGCCGTGGATTCCAATTGGCTTCAAATAGGATGCGAATAGGTACCCAACAAAAAGGGATTCGACTGGATGCCAGCGGGATCCAAATCGGATCCCGATAGAGCGGAATCATTATTCCGTTCGAGAGGATATTAATTATGGTACTCCAATCGGACCGCTTTGGATCATATAAGGACCCCCATTTCATTCCAATTGGAAGGAAGCGCATCCAATTCCAGCAGGATCACTGCTATGAGAGCTGTTCCCTGACTTCATGTGGTTACCTTGAGAACTCGCGTCGGCATTCTTAGCTCAAGATCCTTCGCTGCCTTCGACATGTACTTCGGGTGGACGCCCTGGATTGAGCCTGCTTCCTGGGATTGAGCACTTTCGGGCGGGTAGTATATGGGGGGTGACCCACATTGGGGGTGAAGAAAAAGGCCCTCAAGGGGCCACCAGCTGGTGCCAAAAAAAGGCCCTACAGGGCTTTTTTCTTCACCCCCCATTTGGGCTCCCCAATACCACCCGCTCGACCCTTCTGCCGGGGATTGAACCCTTCTGGCTGGGATGGAACTCCTCGCGGAAGAGGAGGGGGGCTTCCCCGAGGGTCCGCAGCCGTTTTTTTTTCAGCTCGAGGACGGAGGCTTTGGTCACGCTGCCACGAAGCAGGCTCTCTAGTGATTGTTTTCTTATGCGTTGTTTTGCCGATCGGCGCGGGCCCTCGCACCCCCTCCCTTCCCCCACCACATGGAGTAGATCTTGGCTGTTTTCGGTGCCCGTTTCAAGCAGTTGGAGTCTCCCCCATACGACGCCATGTTGCAAACAGTCGCAGTAAGCAGAGTTCCAGAGCCAGACCCCCTCCCTCGCCCTTTTTCGCCCAATGTCGAAACGCCGAATAATAAAACGCTCACTTGGCGCGGACGCGCGGTGGCGCAGTTTCGAGGCTCAAGGTTTGCAGGCGTGTTCGTCGGATCTCGGCTTTCCAGCCTCGGGGTGCCTTACAGCGGCTGCGCCTCGCCGAAGGCGTTCTCGGGGTGCCCGGATCATCCCGAACGGCCGCCAGAGACCCGAGCTATGTCCCGAGAACAGCCCGACGTCGTCCCCTAACTCCTTCCTGACTCTGGATCCGCAGAGCAATATCGTGAGTAGGGCGGAAATTCTTGCTTATCAAGCTCCTTTGACGTCGGTATCCGCCCTATTTTTGCCACCGCTATTTCCGTCATACTTTTGCGGAAATAGCCGACCCATTGAGAGGGCTTGACGGCCGATGCCGCCGACCCTGAAGCACATCGACGACCAGTAGGAGGAGAAGGAGGAGGACGAGGAGGAGGAAGAGGAGGAGGAGGAGGAGGAGGAGGAGGAGGAGGTAAGGAAGACGAGGGGGAGGAGGGGTGGAGGAAAAGGAGGAAGAGGAACCTTTGCTGCTTTTCCTCCTGCTCCTCCTCCTCCTCCTTGTCCTCCTCCTCCTCTCTCCTCTTCCTCCTCCTCCAGTGGCCACCCCCTGATCCTTTGCGCGGGGGAGGGGGCAGGAGATAAGGAGAAGGAGGTGGAGCTGTTGGAGTGGGGGCCCTAGTGAAGAAACAATCACATTACCCCCGGGACCCTCCCAGGGATCACCCCCTGGGACCACCCCCTGGGACCGCCCTATTTTTGGCGCCGCTGTTTCCGTCATACTTTTGCGGAAATAGCCATTTTATTTCTCTGAGGCGGAAATTTCCGCTCCATTTGGTCGCACCGTTTGGGATGCATTCTTGGCATTATTTTGGGAAGTAAAGTGAAGTACGGTGGATCTGGAGTCAGTGTTTTATTCTTCTTTTTTCTTGTTCTCTCTCTCTCTCTCTCGCTTTCTGTCAGCATCCCCTCTGCTGCTGCCGCCGCTTCTCTTGCATCGCGCAGCTGAGTGTGCAGCTGACCCGTGAAGGTCGCGCTGGGGGCGCCGCTCGTAGTCATCCGTGGTTGGCCAGAAGTTTCACGATGCAGATGCCCGGATGACTTCGACTCTTTTTCTTTCTTGACCGTCGTCTTCTCTTGTGTCCTCCACCGTTCGTGTGGGACCTCCGTGGGAGTACCCCTGTCGATGCCCCGTTCGGGCTGCGCATCCGCAAGCTTGGCGCTGTCTGTGCCGCTGTGCAGTTGTCCTCTTCCTCCTCCTCCTCCTCCTCCTTTTCCCTCCTCGCACGCAACGTTTGGCAGCTCAATTTCATGACATCTCGCGCAACTTTATTTCGTGTCACTATCGCACGCTGTGTGCTGCGCGTGCTCCCGGAGGCAAGGCCCAGGGCCCGCGCGTGGTTCACGTCGCTGTGTGGTCGCTGGGATGTCCGCGCCCCCTCGCTCCTGCTCCTCGGCGCTACAAGAAAGCGCCGTCGCGAAGCATGCTGTGCACACTGTGCTCCAGCGCTCCACCGAGGTCGAGCGCAGGCGCAAGAGTCGGCCCAGCGGTGCAGAAGGTCGAGAGAGCCCGCCCGCGATGACTTCTTCAAAGACGCGATGCCATCCCGTGATTGCAGAGGGGTGCAGCGCGTGAGCTGGCCGCCGAGCCACTCTGGCCTGCCACCCGCGAATCCCCTGCTGCATCCTCTCAGCCGCCATCGGTGCTGCCCTTCTGCCCAGCCGGGCCCCACGAGGGAAGCCTGGCGCCTGGTCTTAACGTTCTCGTGATCTGTGGGTCGGGAACCGATGAGAGTGCTTTTGTTATCCGCTAGGCCATAACGCGCGTTATGCCCCCTACTCACCGAGCGCGTTACACTACTCACAAAGTGCCTACTCGCAAACGTCCGAAGAAAACACGTTCGCCTCGATGTAATATGTCGTGATCCCCCACGGCGGATCCAGGCCATTTGCGAGTAGTGTCTTTGCGAGTAGTGGAGCGCGCTTGCCTACCTACCCTCCCCCACACCTCCCACGAAGTGACGCTCCCCCCCCCGGTGCGTCCTCGGCACCGCCGCAGTGCGTCCGGCACCACAGTCTGGGGGGAGGGTCGTTACTTTATGCCCCCCCCCGTCCTCCCCCCTCCCCCCTCATAACGCCCATTTTGGCCGCGCCGCGAATAAACAAGTGCGCTCGAGGGATGGTCCGATCACTTGTCCACGCCGGCGAAGGCGAGTGGCCAGCGAGACAAAGGCTTCCGTGGCGTCGCGTTTGCAGGGGCCCGCCAGCCTGTGATGTTCCAGTGCGCAGCTGGTCGCTGCTTTATATCAATGACTGCGCTGAGAAGCGCGGGCCGCTACCGCCCCCCCTCCTTCCTAGATGAACGTCGGGCACGTCCCTCTAGAATATTGAAGAATAGACAAAAACTAGTCTGGGGAGGATTTTTCTGCCATATTTGGACCATTTGGGGGTATGTTTTTGTATGTTTCGTTATTCGTCCAGAATCCGCCTGTAGGGGGACACGCCCGACCTAACCCTAGATCTAAGTAACCGGGGCTGCTGATGTTGGCGACTTTCTCAAATAAGCGAGCAAGTCACCAGGGCCGCGCACCCTCCCCGTGGACACGCGCGTCGTTCATGTACACAGTGGTTCGACTTGTTTTGTTTGTTGGGGGTCTTGATGTAGAAACTGGATGTATCTGGGGCGCTGGATGCAGAACTAAATGAGCATAACATGTTCTTGCCCGCTTTCCTCCTGGAGGCCCCGCAGGGTGGCCGGCGGAGTTGCCAATGCGCGCGTTGCTCAGCTGATTCGAGACAGTTGGTGCCGCCGCGCACCCCTGACTCACGCTCCACCGTGGCAGGGCAAACATGTCATCCTCCCGAGCAGCACCATCATCACCATCAACATCACTCGTTGCCAGTATCCTCCTCTGCCTCCGCCTCCTCCCTCGCCCTCTCCCATCATCTTCAAAAAAGCGTGACCCTTCCTCCTTCTCTTCTGCACCCCTTGCGGCTTTCTGGACCTGCGATGCCGAGATCCGGCCAAAACGATCTGGCCACGCGCAGCATCCGGCGGCCCGCGGCACGCCTCGCCACCCTGCCAGGAGGAGGAGGAGGGAGGAGGGAGGAGGGAGGAGGAGGGAGGAGGGAGGAGGAGGAGGAGGAAGGAGGGGGAGGAGGAGGAGGAGGAGGAGGAGGAGGAGGAGGAGGAGGAGGAATACCCGGCGGCCCGCGGCACGCCCCGCCACTCTGCCAGAGCGCTGCACCGAGAGGCCGCTCCTGGCGGCTCGGGGTGCTACTTCGGGAGAGGGCCCCGTGGGGCCCTCCGGCGGACGCCTCGGGGCCGCCGCGGGCCGGGGGCCGTTTGGCCAGCCCTCGTGCTGCCGCTGCTCGTAGAACAGGAAAACGGCGTCACCCCAGCAGATTGCTAAAGGGCCTTGCGGCCGGGGCCGCCGACCCTGATGGGGGATGACGACGATGACGACGGCGGCGGCGACGACGACGATGCTGACGTGGGTCAGAGACTTCAAGGATGCTCTTGGGGGTCTTCTCTGAGCGCTCTCGGGGTCTTCTGGGGGACAGTTGGGGGGTCTCTTGGGAGCATCTTGGGGGCCTCTTGGGAGCCTCTTGGGGGCCTTTGAGGGCTTCCTGGGGGGCCTCTTGCTCCCGATGTTCTAGGAACAGAATCGGCGTCACCCCAACATATTTCTACTACATGTGCGTCGCCCCCCCAGGGGCGACGCGCGCACCGAGAAAGCTTATAGTATACATGCGTCGTGGCGGGCGCTTTCTGGCCGCGCCGCTCGGGCAACGATGTACTACAAGATGGGCATACTGTATGTGTTCGGGTCGGGTGCGCGCGTCCAAGGAGGACATATAGTATTAGCATGTCTCTGTGCGTCCCACAGAAAACGGTATAAGCATAAACTTTCGGATCTCCGCGCGGATGTCTTGGAGCGGCGTTCCGGGACCCGCCGGCGGCGGCTGTGGCGCTGTCCCCGGCGCGCTCCAGGGGGGGCCCAGCGCGAGTCCGAGAGATCCGAGCTGATCTTCACCGGATTCTGGTCAGCTCCTGCTCCTGGATCCCCCTCCTGCGAGCTGTTTCTGCCAGCGCGCGCGAGGCCGCGCCCCGGCCCCGTCTTCTCCCGCCACTCGAGGCCGTCTCGAGGTCTGGCGTGGCCTGTTGGCGGCCACCGTCGGCCTGCTTGTCTTTCCACCCGTGTGTCGAGTAGGGGGTCGGCTGCAGAGAGTCGTGTGCACCCCCAGCCCCAAAGTGGCTCCTCTCGTCGAGCGTACGAAGAAGGCGTAGAATGCTCGCAGATCACTCCACGCATGTTTCGTAGATCCGACGAGAAAGTCAAGCTTGGGACGGATCAAGTCTGCAGTCGGTGCCCTGCTCGAAGTTGCTCTGAACGCAGGGTACAGTTCCAGAGCGCGCGGACCGCCGCCAGGGACGGCGCCAGAGGCGCCGCCATAGGGAGGGAGGCCCAGCGCCGATCCAAGGAGGAAAAATGTGTTTTTTCTATCTTGAGACGTGTGGCGAGGGAGGAACCGAGTCGGGCGTGTCCCTCTTCGGGAGGAGTGTTCCAGAATGGTGAGAAAATCGTATGGAGACGATCTATCTTGCACTTATGTTTATTGCTTACGTGTTTTAGACTATGTCCTACTTGTTGTCCAAAGCCTTCCTGTAGCAGGACATACTCGACCTAAAGTTTGAGCCGTCTCGAGGGAAGAACTGTGCGAGGCTAAGATCACACGACAACACGTATTGCTTGTATGTTTGGCCTTTTCGATAGTTTCCCTAGAATCCTCGGGGAGGCTTTTGAAGGCCTCTCTTCGAGTCTCTTGGGCGCGTGTTTGATTAGTTCTCGGGAGCTGTGTGGGCCCTGTTGAGCTCTTGGAGCGACTGGGTGGATGGTTGGAGCCGCTCTAGGAATATAATTATATGGCCCCCCTTGGCCTATCTTGGCCGTCTTGGGAGTATCTTTGCCAGTCCTGGGGTTGATGAGGGCGCTGGGAATGAGGCTGCGAATGGCGCAGACGATGCCACCCGGAGGGCTCGATGAGAAGGGAGAGAAACGATTGCCGGGCGTGGTCTTTTAAGCTTGGTTTTCTCCGAAACATGGTCTCGACCTTGTGCGCGTCTGGTGGCCTCTCTCTCTCTTTCTTCCTCTCATTCTCTCGTTCTCTCGTTCTCTCTCTCCCTCTCTCTCTCTGCTTCTCTCTCCCCCTTCTCTCCCCGCACACAGACTGGCGGCGGCTCTCGTTGCTGCGTCGGGCTTGCCGAGGTCTAGCCTGCTGCGCCTCCGCGGGCTTCCGCGCAAGCGCCCCGTGCGGGCGTTGGCGGGATGTGTACCATCCCGGCCAGACATCTCTAAGGCACCGTACGGCTCCACTCTTGGGCCTCCCATAGGGGTCCGAGCAGATGGGGTCGGAGGATCGCGCCGCGTCGCCGATGCATCGGCGATACGGCTCGATGTGGATCCCGAATTTCCCCACGCCGACGTCGCCGATGCATCCCCGATGTCGCCGATTCATCGTCGATGCATCGCCGATGCATCGGCGATGCATCGGCGATCCAGTGCAATCCTCCGACCCAATCTACTCGGACCCCATCTACAACCCTCATCAAAATTGACCTCAAACATGGACATTGGAGGGGCGTCTGTCCTCAAAATGAACCTCAAATTGCCCTGGCCCCGACATTGGAGGGGCGTCTATCGCCATTGAAGGGTGCGCCGACATCGCAGGGGCGTGGTCGCCGTTCTCGAGGTTAAGCTTGACGAGGGTAGTAGGACTCAGTCGGGCGTGTCCCCCTGCCGGAGGAGCACATTCAAAAATGGTCAAAAACCAGTCGGGGGACGACTTCTGGATCAAGTTTGACTGTTAGGCACTCCAGGCGTGGACTCTTCTGCTGGAGGCCTCTCTCTGCCCACTGCGTGCCGAGAGGAGGCCCGACGGCGGGGCGGGCCGCCCACCGCCGCCGGGTCACGCGCGCGGCCCCCCGGCCGTTCCAGCGCGGGGCACGCGGCGCGGCACCGGGCCGGCGCACGGCTTCTCGGCAGGGGGGAAGGCAAGTAGCGGCGGAGCGTCCCGGCGTGCCCGCAGGCCTGCCGAGCAGTGTTCTCCGAGCCTTTCTGGTGGTTTCCACGAGATGTGCTCAGACCATTCCTGGCTGGGACTGTCTTGTTTTCTCAGTTTCTGGCTGGCCGGCGCACAGTTTCTCGGGAGGGGGAAAAAGCACATAGACACAAAGAAGCGTCGACTCCCAGGAAAATAGATGGGAAGCTATGGGAAAATATGGGGGCTTCCGTCAGCGTGCACAGGCAACCCTCAGCGAGTAGGAGAAGCTACATGTCTTCGCTCTGTGCTCAGAGTGCCATTCGATCGACACTGAGCCGACTGCTCAGAATGTGCTCAGCTAGCTCGCCGCCGAGCTCCAGGGGAAGACGGAAACCTAGGAGATGTGGGAAGCTATGGGGGTTCCTGGGGTCTGTGTCTGTGTATTTGTGTGTCCTTGGGCGCCTCCCGCTTCGGGTGTTGCTAGAAGTGCCCCAGGCCCAAGGTGCCCCCGGCGTTTCGCTCCATTTTGGAGCCCCTGGAGCCCTCTCGGCCCGTGAGGCTCTGGAGGCCGCTTGGGCCACCCCGATAATCTTGGGGGCACCTTGGGCCAGGGGGCACTTCTAGCAACACCCGACAGTTGGCACAATTGTTGCTTTGCTCAGTTCAGCCACGCGCAGAGGGGGGTGGTGGGATGGGGGAGGGCTTCTTAGAAGCACCCCTGCCTCTTACGTAGAAGGCGCGGGCCTTCTCCATAAAGGTGTAGGGCCAGCGCCTTCTAAGAAGCAGCCTTCTTTTGAGAAGCCCTCCCCCCTCCCTCCACCCGCTTGTGCGCGCCGCCAATCAGGACAGGTCGAACTCCCCACTCGGAGATGCCGAGCGAATCACAGCCATCCCCAGGAGGAGCAGGAGGCCAAGGATGAAAAGGGGGAGGCGGGGGAGGACGGTGGGCCAGGCATGCTCCCCACTGCATGGCCCAGGAGTGAGGAGGAGGAGGAGGAGGAGGAGGAGGAGGAGGAGGACCAGTGTAAACCCAAGGGTCATCAACGATGTTGGAATTAACCATCCCTCCAAGCTCCCTCTACATAGGCCCCTACAACGGTTCATTTCCATTGAGGGAACTGCCGTTGGAAGACAACAGTTTGAAGACCCTGAATCATGCAAAAGCAATGTTCTCTGGATTTCAACGCCACGGATCAACGTGACTGCTGCGTCTTGACTATCCAGAATCGTGCCAGAACGCCATTTTGGGGGACTTCAACACCGCGAATCAACATAATTGTTGCACCCGCATAATCCTGAATCCTTCCAAAACGCAATTTCTGGAACGTTGACCATGGGAATCCGTGAAACCTTTGCAATGTGTTACACCGATTGGGCGCCGCGCTAAGGCGAGAGCCACATTTTGCAAAGGAACTGCCCTCAATCCGCGAAGCTCTTGCAGTTTTCTACAAGGAATGTGCGCGGCGCTAAGGTGAGAGCCACAGTTTGAAAAGGAACCGCTGTCAATCCGTGAAACTCTTGCAATTTTGTCAAACGAATGTGCGCAGCGCAAGGCGAGATCCACAGTTTGAAAACCACCCGCCCTAAATCCATGAAACTCTTGAAAACTGTTCAACCGAATGTGCGCGGCGCTAAGGCGAGAGCCACATTTTGAAAACCATCCGCCCTCAATCCGTGAAACTCTTGCAAACTGTTCAAACGAATGTGCGCGGCGCTAAGGCGGGAGCCACATGTTGAAAACCACCCGCCCTCAATCCGTGAAACTCTTGCAAATGTTTCAAACGAGTAATCGCGGCGCTAAGGTGAGAGCCACATTTGCCGTCTCTT